TAGGACAGAAGGAGAACATGTCAGAAAGCTGTTGAAAGACTGAGTTGAGATTTTAAAAGGGTTGTTGAGACAGATTTTAGGTTTCTAGATGTGCCTCAAGCAAGGGATGCTGCAGAAAACACCAGGATTTCGGTTAAAAACCTCGGAGGATCATGAATAAAGCTAAGGTATACTGAGGCATTCGAGGGCTAATGGCTACTAGCCAGCTTAGAGCAACATATATTCTCGTGACAATAACAACTTGCTCCACAATATTGGACACGGCAGAAGACAATCCTTGTGAATTAGAAGACAGGAGCCCTCACTTTGTTTAGCAGACAGATAGCTGAGTCTTATAAGAAGGAAGACCATAATCTGCAGCCTCTTCAAGTGTTAAAGAAAAGCTTTGACACAGATAAAAAACAAGAAGCAGAAAAACAAACAATAAACAGGACTTCATGACAAAAAGTAAGGAGGCAGAAAACAACTTCATGACTGAAAACAAAGGATAAATAAAATACTCAAAATGAAAAACATCTAAAATGCATCTAGTGGGGCCTCCCTGGCAGCGCAGGGGTTAAAGACAGCACTGGGGTTAAAGACAGCGCTATCAAGCATTTGCCAGCCACTGCAGCACAAGTTCGATCCCCTGCCAAGGAGCTGACTCACATGGCACAGCTGACCTCGCCTGTCTCGCCTGCTGCTCCCCTCAGCAGTGTATTTCAGTAGATCCACCTGTTCTGCTCCCCACTCTCTCTCTGGTGATCCTCTCACCCCAGCAACTCTGGCTTGCATCCCAGTTCCTGTATGCATACATAAATAAATCTTTAAAAAAAATAAAATTCATCTAGTGACTACAGTTATCTACAAGTGTCTTTAATTTACCATGGTTATATTGTCAAATAGAGAAAATTAAAATGTATTAATAAAAACATTCTCAGCAGAAAATGAGAATCAATAATCATATGAAAATGGAGTTTATTAATGCAATATTGGGCATTAAGAAAACATTTTTAAAGCATATGGGGACAGGAAATGACAATACTTATGAAATTAGTACTGTCATTTCACAAACAATAATTATATTTTCTGAGTGAAGTAATATATTAAATTATAAAACACTATAAAATTAAAAAATTTGAAAACAAAAAAATTTGAAAATGCTTAACTTTTCAACAATTAGCAGTGCAGTTTATACAACTGTTGGTTAAAGAAGTCAAATATGTGAATTTAAATTATATTTAATAAAGAAGAGAGATAAATATTACATATGTTTACAAATATATTTATATAAATATATATTAGGAAAATAGCATACATATCAATAATCTAAGCTTTCTCCTCAAGGTCGATAGCAAAAAAGGAGGGGAAATAAACAAAGAAAAATACAATGAACAAAAAGAAATAGAAAACAAAATCAATTCATAAATCAACAACATCAAAATTCAGTTCTTTGAAAATAAATTTAAAAATCTATACCCTCTATATAAGTGAATAAAGGGCAGGAGGCTAAGGTGGCAGAAGGATGGAAGCAGAATGGAGGGGTCCCAAATCACCAATATCCAAAATGAAAGAGAAGAAATCACTACCAATCCCACAGACATTAAAAGGACAATAAGTAACACTAAGCATAAATCTACGTCCCCAAATTTGGTAGTTTAGATGAATTGGAGAAGTAACTTGAAGACATACTCCTCCAAAATCACAAATGGAGGAATGACCTCCATATCTTCAATTTGTTCCCATATACATTGGTTTTGGTTGTGGAAGAAAAGTGTCATTTACTAGTCATTGTTTCAAAGTATATAAACTCTTTTTCAATGTGATATTTTAGGTCCACAAATGTGTTGCCTCCAGGGTGTCATAAAAAGGCTTCAACAGACAATTCCACTGTTCTAAAAATACATCTACTTTAGTATGATAGGGTACAAAATAAAATAATTACATATAATTATTAAAACTTGAAAAGTGTAAACTTGCAGTGTCCGTACATTGCATACTGATGACCTGAACAGCTCAATATCTATTTAAAGTTTTAATCAAAACTTACAAGCCTTCTATAAGAAAATAACCAGATTCTGGTAGTTTCACTGATTAATGACTCTGAGTATTTAAGACGAAATAAGAAACCTTTACTAGAAAACAGAATATGGTGTCAGGTCTTACATTCACCAATGGACCATTGTGGAAGACTATGGGTGCTGTGGTGGTGGGTGATGTGAAGCTATTACTTGCAATTATATTAACAAATGTTGTAAATCAATGTTAACTCAATTAAAAAAAAACAACTGAGAATGTTTTAGAAAAGAAGAAAAAAAGAATCTAAAAGATGTAGAAATGCTCAGCTCTTACTGGAATAAAAAAAAACTCAGCTTTTAATGTGATAATGTGATTAGATTGTGTCTACCTGGAGAATCTTTCTTTTGATAACACCAAAGTCAAGTGATCAGCAATCTTAATTTCATCAACAAAATCCCCTCCTGTCACCTAATATATACATGATTATGGTATCTCATCATATTCATAGTTCAAGGAATAATAATAGGAAAACTTTGGGGAACATATGGATCCTGTGGACCATAGTTACTAATATATTTATAGAAATGTACTTGTCCTTTTTTCTTAAATATTTTTCATGTTCTATAAATCCAGACATCCTATCATACTACTGAGAACAAGAAAAATGAATTCTGAAGATGTGCATGCAAGAGTCTAATTGACCTTTTTAACAAATTTCACTGGGGGACTTTTTTGTTTACATCTCAGATTTGTGACATGAGCTAAAGCAGTAGTGTAAAAGTGTTTGCAAGACTGAATATTTTTTAGTTGAGTAAATTGTTGCCCACTCCTTCCATTGTATCATCTGATATCTGTCCTTAAGTAAAATGAGTTTGGCATTTAATATATGAATAGCTAGACATATGTACATACATCAGAGTTTCCAAATTTTTTTTTTTATTTTTCAGCATATGTATTCTCTTCCAAATCTCCATTTATGTTTGTAAGGATGTAATTTAGTTAGCTTCAAAATAGTATCATAGCTCCCTAGTAATTCAGTAGGGCTTAGAATTATTATTGAGTTTGGAGATATACACTTATTTTTACAATCAAGTTGTTTCCATTGCCACTTATAAGCCATATATTATTGTTCATATCATTATTAAATTTGAACATTTCTTTAGAGAAATGAGATGGTGAAAAATTGGAAAATATCCTTTTACATAATTACCAAGTAAATGGGTACTATGTCATCTAAAATAGTAGTAGTGGCAATGAAAATGAGGTTAATGTTAGTAGTGATGCTGCTTAAAAGTTAATTTTTTTTCTAAAGATTTATTTTATTCATTCATACAAGCACTGGGTACAGTCAGAAGCGCGGGAGGGTGAGAGAATTCACCAGAGCTAGAGCAGAGAGCAGAACAGGCAGACTGATGAAATACACCGCTGAGAGGAGCAGCGGGTGTGGCAGGAGAGGTCTGCGAGCTATGTGGGACCCTCGCCTGGCAGCCGGGGATCAAAATGGTGCTGCAGAGGCTGCGGGCAGCTTCGCAACCCAGCACTCAACCACTGAGCCACTGGGGAGGCCCTTAAAAGTTAATCTTCACTATATACAAAACACCAGTCTCTGTACTTTCCATACATTAACGTAATTGACCTTAACATTAAACTGAGATCTAAATACTTTTATTATCCTAATTTAACATACAGTAAATTATATAGAATTTAGGTAACAATTCAGATATTTTAGTATATAGTTTTAGTTCACAGCTATGTAGTTGAATTGTTTTATAAAAATATGAATATTCTCCACCAATTTGGGCAATTTACTATTTTTCAGATACTTTTGATGCATAAGCTTTATGTATTCAATATATATTCTTAACTAGAAACTTCTGGTCACATCCAGGCATAGACAGATGCACATTTTACATTATTTTCAGCTTTAAGCCAGCAGATGTGATTTTTCAAGTCAATTATTTCATACAAAGTGGTTTCTGATTGTGCTACATATGGTATGGGTGCATTAATATAATGAGTAACTTCTGGAGTAACAATGCAAATTTCCCATGAAATGTATCTTTTATACACATATAAATCAAGGTGTTGGCATATGAAAACCACATTTCAAGGCAGTTTTAGATACTGACATGAAATTTAATATAACTATAAATTCTGAAAAAAACATATCGGTGGAATCTTTTAAGAGATTTTTAATTCCAGTGGAGATTGTCTTTAAAAATCTTGGATCTGCTATAGTAGCTGACTCAAGGCATCTACATTTAATGTTTCCGCTAGACTCTTAGACAATTACCCCATCAAAAGCATATTTGTAGGACATGGCTTAGGGTGCAGATTAGTCCATTAAGAAGAATTGTAATCACTGCACAATTTCTGAAATGTTATTTGAATAATTTTATGACTCATACTGTAGAAATAAAAGATAGTTTAACAATAGTTTCACAAGTGTATTTATCAAGGTACAATCAGAAAGAATAATGCTAGCTATTTCAAAGAGGGATAATTAGACTAGAGATAACTGAATACACAATTATTGGGTGGCTGAAAGAGCAAAAAAAAAAAATAGATGCAGTGATGACCCAGATATGGTAACTGTTGAAGCAATTATTATACATCAGTCAAGGGGAAAAGAATGTAGGAGGGAGAATTGAATTAGACACATGCACTTGGAATAGAAAGGCTTACACAATAGTGACATGGATGACTCCATATTACTTGTGCTCAAACCTGGGAGATACATGCAGCTGATGCTTTCACTGCTTAGTTTAGAACATACACCCAAGCTCAGGTCACATAGCCAGCATTCTGCTTTCCATTATGTATATACACTTCATCTTTATTATTCCATCTGTCAACGGAAACTTGGGTTGTTTCCATATCTTGGTTATTATAAATAATGCTGCAAAAAAAAAAAGGATGCATGTATCTCTTCAAATTAGTGTTGTCATGTTCTTTGGATAAACCCAATTGTGAAATAGCTATATCATTTGGTATTCCTCGTCTTAATGTTTTGAGGAATCTCTGTACCATGTCCACAGTGTCACCAGTTTCCAATCCCTCCAACAGTGCATCATGGTTCCCTACTCAGCTACAAAAAAAAAAAAAAAGAAAGAAAGAAAAGAAAAAGAAATGTCATCTTATCAGGCTTGACAAGAAATTTCATCTTATCATCTTTCAATGCTAATTGAAAAAAAATCAAAAGAAGAAAGACAAGTACTATATGATTTAACTTATCATGTGGAATATAAAGAAACAAAGCAAACAAAAGATCTCTTAGACACAAAAAACAGATTGTAGGGTTTTTTATTTATTTATTTATTTATTTATTTATTTATTTATTTATACAAGCACTGGGTATGGTCAGAAGCACAGGAGGGTGAGAAAATACACCAGAGCCAGAGTGGGGAACAGAACAGGCAGACCAACGAAGTACACTGCTGAGGGGAGCAGCAGGCGGCAGGAGAGGTCTGTGCGCCATGTGGGACCCTCGCCCAGCAGCCGGGGATAGAACCAGCGCTGGAGAGGTTGTGGGCAGCTTTGCAGCCCAGTGCTCAACTGCTGCACCACCTGGGAGGCCCAGATTGTAGGTTTTCAAAGGGGAAGGGACATGGAGTGGGTGAAATAAATAAAGGGGGTCAACTATATGGTATAGACTGAAAACTAAACCTTTGGTGGTGATCATGATGTAGATATCAAATTATAATGCTGTAAATCTAAAATTTATATAGTTATGAATCATTGCAACCTCAATAAATATTTATTAATAAAAATGCATTCTACTTTCTGTTCTCTCTTAAAATTTCTAATCAAGGACAAAGTCCAATCCTTTTGTACTTTTTTATGCTGAGAAAAATGGGCAATTTCATTTTCTAATATAATTAAACAATTGATATATATCCTGATTATATAAACTATAAATCATCAGGAAAAAAATATGCCACTCTGAGGAAAATGAAGTACAAATTTACAAGAAGATTATCTGAAAGATTATAGAAAAAATTTGCAAATTTATTACTAGGTTACAAAATAGAGCAGAACAACTTCCATTTCTTATTTTTTTTTCAAGATTTATTTATTTATTTATACAAGCACTGGGTACAGTCAGAAGTACGGGAGGGCAAGAGAATTCACCAGAGCCAGAGCGGGGAACAGAACAGGCAAACTGACGAAATACACTGCTGAGGGGAGCAGTGGGCACGGCAGGAGAGGTCTGTCGCGCCATGTGGGACCCTCACCCGGGGGCCAGGGATCAAACCGGCACTGCATTGCAGCCCAGCGCTCAACTGCTGCACCACCAGGGGTGGCCCAGAACAACTTCCATTTCTAAAACTTGTTTTTAAATATTTATTTTGGGGATAGGAATGAGCACAATTTATGTGCCATTGATTAGTTTATATAAACTATCTTATTATATAACATTTAAATACCACACGGTGGTTTCCAGCAGAATGAAAATTGAGTATTTAATAGAAAATTTCACTGTTAAAAAATCTGTTTCAGTATGACAGGGAAGAGACTAATGCATCTGAATCTATTATCAACCCACATTTTAATTTAAATTGTTGGAAAATGAGTTCACTAGTCAGATGGTTGTATGGATAAGGCTGTATGGATAATTCTAGCTATGAACACTTTCTTCAGCAAATTTGGAGACAGTACTCCTAGAAGAAGCATTAACGGAAGGGCAGGAAACCAAACCTCTTGAAAATGCTTCATGTTAGCTAGATCAAATAAAGAAACCCATTGTTGTAACAAACAATAGTTCCCCGGACACAGAGTAGCATAAATAAGGTGAGCGAGTAATGTGGAAGATCCAATGAAGACCACCCTTCAAACCATAATTGTTTCAGATTGTTTAAATAAAGTAGCTAAAGCCTTACTGATGTAACTGAAGGGCTCTCTCTTCCCTCTAATTAATGTAGTGTGTTTTTTTATGTTATTGCTTTTATAACTTCATTGTATAGGTATTATTTAACAGTATTTAATTTTATTATTTTATTATAATTTTTATTATATTATTATAATTTTATTATTTTATTATAATTTTATTATTAATTTTATTATTTAACAGTATTTAATTTTTCATACTAATGCTTTACTTGCACACCACAACTCATTTTGTCTCCACTCACAAGTAAGTTCACAGGAACTGTTTCGCATAGGTTTTGTGCATACTTAATTACTATGCTATATCATGGTGAAAATTTTTATATCTAATTTATAAGTTTCTGACTGACTGATTAGTAGGTGGTTTTCACTGGTAAGTACCTTTCCCTGTATCATTGGACACAGAGAAAGTTTCCTTAAAGGAAACATTTGCAAAGAATTTCTCAAACTTAGGATATTTTTATTTTCAACTCTACTAATAATGCCAAATTAGATGCAACAAATTTCATTCCCACTGGCCATCTGAGAGAGTTCCTATTCAATAAAAATATGGTTTTATAATGCATCTTTAGTATTTGTCAATATTTGCAAAACTATCAATATTTGATAGTTTTTATCTTTCATCAGGTTAGTAGCAAATGTGATAACTTTCATTTTTTTTTTTTTTTTTTTTTTTTAGATATCTATTCAATCGTGACTAAAGTAACTTATGCCAGGCCTCCCTGGTGGTGCAGGGATCAAAGACACAGCCTTATCAAGGTATCCGCAGTCACTGCAACAGGAGTTCGATCCCAGGCCACGGACCAACCCACATGGCACAGCATATCTCTCCTGTCTTGCAGGCTGCTCCCCTCGCAATGCATCTCAGTAGATCTGCCTGTTCTGCTCCCCACTCTCTTTGGTGAATCCTCTCACCCCTGCTCTCCCAAAGTCTGGTCTACATATCAGTTCTTATATGCATAAATAAATAAATCTTAAAAAAAAATAAAGTAGGGGCATCCCCTGGAGGCGCAGCAGTTGAGCGCTGGGCTGCAAAGCTCCCCACAGCCTCTGCAGTGCCAGTTGGCAACCCGGCCGCCAGCGAGGGTCCCACATGGCACGAAAGACCTCTCTTGCCATGCCCGCTGCTCTCCTCAGCAGTATATTTCATCAGTCTGCCTGTTCTGTTCCCCGCTCTGGCTCTGGTGAATTCTCTCACCCTCCCACGCTTCTGACTGTACCCAGTGCATGTATAAATCAATCAATCAATCAATCAATCTTAAAAAAAAAAAGTAACTCATGCCATTAAAGGGTATGAGTATGTAACAGTAAATCAAGGACATCACAGCCCACATAAAACTGATAAACTAATTAAAGGTAGAATATATCATCAATAAAATAAATGCCTCACAGCATATTAGAAGCTAATCGCCACCGTGTCAAAGTTTGGTGGGGAGACTGCAGTTTTGCATGGCTTCACCAGGAATGACACTTTTAAGTGATGATTCCAATGATGTGAAGAACAAAGCATATGCACATCACTGCAAATGGGTCCTGTTTTCCGCGATACAAACATTTTTTGGTCCGTGGACCAGGAAATACCATCCCGAGTCATAGATGCAATGTTACCAGCTTTAACACTTCATGCCAAGTTGCTTTTCAGAAGTGATTAGTAACACATTTCATTTCACAAAACTGTTTATTTTACTTTACACCTGTATTTGTGTGTTAGGGCTGCCATAAGAAAATGCCAAAGACTGGGAGGCTCAGATAACACGACATGCTTTTCACACAGTTCTAGAGGCTAGAGGTACAAGATTAAGGTGTTCACTCCTCTCCCGCTGTCTTACAGATGGCCGCCCTCTGGCTGCATCCTCACATGTGTCCCTGCTGTGCCTGCACATGTGTCCACAGTTGCCCTTCCAGCAAGGACACAGGTCAGACTGGATTAGGACCCTGTCTCACAGATCTTATTTTTAACATACATCTTTCAAGGCCTCATCTCCACAGTCACATTTTGAGGAACTGGAGGTTAGATTGGCAACATGGGAATTTGAGGAGAGCACAAATGAGCTCATAATAGCATTCCTCTTTTGCCAAATTCATCTGACTAAATCCTGACTGATTATGAAGCAGCTACCCACAATTCTCCCTGAACTCTCACTTTGCGTATAAAAACCAAACTAGAAATGTCAACTACGTCCCAGTTCAGGATTGCTTGATTCCCCATTTTGGAATCTACCTGAAATACTTTAAGTATGTCTAATAAAAACCTCTTACATGCATGTGCAGATCTTCAAAAACTTCTCCTAAATTCACATGAAAGAATAAAAGACTAGAAGAATGAAGTGCACAGGCATAATAAAATTTCCCCCAAATGCCCACACCCTAATACTCGAAACCTGTGAATATGACATCTGATATGACAGAAGGGACTTTGCATATCTAATTAAAAATATTTGGAACTGGTGAGATTATCCTAAATTGTGCAGGTGGACTTAATCTTATCATGTGGGTCCTTCAAAACTGCAGCTTCCTGGCACTCAATGGGTGTGACAATAAATATGGGGTCAAAAAGATGCTACACTGCTGGCTTTGAAACTGGAGGAAAAGGCTCCAAACCCAAGTATGGTGGGCCACGCTGCAAATGCTCATTCAACACATGCCACCCAGTTATCACCATGGCCCTTTGTTAAGGGCTCATCTGGTATTCACAGCAGTCCTTGCATGAGATACCCTTAATTTCTCCCATGACATACAAGAGGAAAGAGAGGCAAGCCAAGGACAAATTGTTTACCTGAGGTTATAGGTTATAACTGTCAAAATAATGGCTGACAGGACTTAAAATTTTAAGTATGAGTACAAGTGACAAATTAAAAACTGATAATTACCAGTGTGGGTGCATGAAAACCCGAGGCTTTTCCATGATAATACAGAGAATCTAAGACTTAAAGGCAGGGATGATTTTAGTACCTATAACTTTAATGTATGCTGTTTTCTTTTCCTGCAGGACAGAAGATTCCGAGAAAACAGAGTTGGCAATGTTCTTATTATTTAGGTGATTATCTTAAAGCCTGTCTAAAGGGATAGTTTATCTGAATACGGGACAAATGCTGAAAATTCAAAATTCAAAAACACAAAAATAGAATATTTTATGAATATAAAAATATTCTTGAAGGGAACAAATTATGAAGGATGCACAGTGAAATGTCTTTTTATTAAATCTTCAGAACTCATACCATGTAAAAATCAGAGCAAAGTTAAAATATGATACATTTTCTTAAATTGAATTTTCCTACATTTGCCAGGCAGCAAACATAAAATTAAGAAAACATAAAATGGAGAATTTAGAAAGTAAGTCTCCAACTTAGTCTACATTGACATAAATCACCAACATTGCATTAAACATCATTCAGTGATATAAACATTGTTACCCATTTAAGGTGAAAGATTAATCCCATCATATGCCATTTGAAAAATATTGTTTCTTATGCAAATGTAGTAGTTTCTTGTGCAAACATATGCAAAATGAAAGACATTCATTTTGAAAATTAGTGACTTCTATTTTATTGATGAAATTAACATTTCTACCTGAATTATTAATATTCCTGTATGTGTATATAATATAAATTATACATATAATATGTAATATACATTTCCTACATATATTCATTGTATTTTTAAAGCTATAGGAATTTTGTTGATTTGAAAACCAAAATTTAGGATTGGAAGGCAAAGAAAATAATAACTTAAAAAGGAGATATTTTCTATTCTACTTCTAGACAATGTGAACTAAAGAGGACCTGATTACAATTCTATTGGAAAGAATTAAATATCCAGACAAAAAATGGAGACAGCAGTTTTCAGATATTGAACATAGGTTGCTCAGAACAATGATGTCTGAGACAGTGAAAACAACACATGGAGTCTGTGTGTGTGTCCATGTGTGTCTGTGTGTATGTGCATGCAGATGAACTAACATTAACTGTAAGTGATGCTATTTCAACAAAGTGCCATACCTCTAACCATACCATCATGTTTAATTTTCCAGGTAAGTTAAAACATGGAAAATCTTACTCTGAAATCTGCTGAAAAGAACAGTCCAGCTTATTTTCTCATGCTGCACTTCATATTAAAAAAATAAGTTAAAATTTGAAAAAGTCTAGGAGTTCTAAGGACTTAAGTAATAACTTGCCTCAGGAAAAATCAATTACTTCATCTAGGAGCATTCAGATGCCCATTCTATCTCCACAAACTTGGCAACACTACAGGAAGGAGAGACACAGTGGGGCAGGCAATCTCCGAGCCAAGAAGACATACCAGGGAAAGGCAGAATGAGGTGAGTTCCCAAGAGACAAGACTGCAGAAGGGAGAGCTACATGGAAATAAAGATCCAGAGACCCACGTATTACAGAGAAAGGTATATGTTCAAGACAGAGTAAAGAATCACCCAAAAGGAGCAAAGTGAATACTGATTCTCAATTAGGTATGAAAATAGGTCACATTACCCTAGCCACTGTGGAAAATCTGGTAATTCAGTTTACAAGGGAAGAGTTGACAGAATGATATTATCTTAGTAGTGGAGGAAAATTAGCCTTAGAATATATGCTGCTTTGATCTATTCCCCCTGAGTTACCTGAAATACAAAGAAGCCATGTTCTGGTATTGTGAAACTCAATTCTCCACACATTGATTTTGAGTCAACCTAAAGGCCACCCGTAGATTGTTGTAGTCTAATTATAAAACTTATATGGAAGAGTAAATGATTGAGGTAATCAAAGCAACTTTGAAAACAGAAAGTTAGAATTCCTATACTACCTAATTTAAGAATTTATTATCAATCTGTAATAAAAATTGAATATTGACAAAAAGTTAGAAGAGAAGAGAATAAGGAGTTGATAAATTGATCCATGCATATTATGATCAATTGCTTTTCAACAAAAGTACCAGTTCCATTGGGAAATGATAGTTTTTTAAACAAAATGATCTTGAAACAATTGAATAGGCATATTTGGATCTTCTTGACATGTGATGGGTGTATGTCTTTTATACGTGTATTATAGGTTAAAAATATTTTAAGTGAAAAATGCATTCAGTACAGCAAGCCTACAGAATGTAGTATTTCTATGGACATTTACATCAGCCAACAGTTGGCCACAAAAAGTATTTCATAATTCAGTGTTGAATGTCTCATGTCATTTACTGAATACTATACTAAAAGTGGGAAACTGTAAGATACTGTGTTTGCCCTTGCGATGAGTTGCTGCTTGTGAGCCACGATTCGCTGCCACTGCTCAGCATTGGGAGAGATTAATTAGCCAGTTATCACTAGCCTAAGAATAAAATTCAAAGTACAATTTCATATGTATGGATATTACTTCTCCACTACAATAAAGTAAAAAATAAATCATAAGTTGAATCATCATAATGCAGGGACCATCTGTACATGTAATTCAACCTTGATTCTCACTTTATAAAAATTATATTTATGAAAGATCTTGACATAAATACTAAATCTATGAAGCTTCTAGAAAAAAAACAGAGGGGAAAATTAGTGAGCTTGAATTTAGCAAATATCTTTATTTTTTTTTCTTCTTTGTCCAGCTTCAGATGATTATATAGTTCTAGGAATTTGTCCATCTCTTCTAGGTTGTTGAATTTGTTTGCGTATAAGTTTTCATAGCAATCTCTGATTATTCTTTTGATTTCTACTGAATTTGTTGTGATTTCTCCTCTTTCATTTATAATCCTATTTATATGTGTTTTTCTCCCATTTTTTCTTTGTGAGCCTTGCTAGAGGTTTGTTTATTTTGTTTATTTTTTCAAAGAACCAACTTTTGGTTTCATTGATCTTTTGGATTTTTTTAAATTTCTAATTCATTTATTTCTGCTTTGATTTTTATTATTTCCTTTCTTCTACTGGCTTTAGGGTTTTTTGGTGTTCTTTTTCTAGCTCTTTGAGATGTGAGATTAGGTTGTTTCTTTGAGTTCTATCTTGTTTGTTGATGTGAGCCTGTATTGCTATATATTTTCCTCTTATTACTGCTATTGCTGCATCCCATACATTCTGGAAGTGGTGTCCTCCTTGTCATTCAACTCAAAGTATTTTTTGATTTCTTCTTTATCTCCTCATTAGTCCAGTGGTCTTCCAGTAGTGTGGATTTCAATCTCCATGAAGTGGGAGGGTTCCTTGTTTTCTTTTCATTATTTATTTCTAGCTTGATGCTTTTATGATCAGAGAAGACAGTTGGAATGATTTTGATCTTCATGTATCTGTTGATGTTTGTCTTGTGGCCCAGTATGTGATCAATTCTGGAGAATGATCCATGCGCACTTGAGAAAAATGTGTACTCAGATCTTTTTGGGTGCAGTGTCCAATAAATGTCTGCTAAATCCATGCGTTCTATGTCTTTATTTAGGGCTCTAGTGTCTTTGTTTATTTTTTGTCTCATTGATGTGTCCATTGGTGAGAGTGGGGTGTTGAAGTCTCCCACTATATATGTATTTTCTTTAATATCTGTTTTCAGAGCTGATAATAATTGTCTAATATATTTTGGTGCCCCTTCATTTGGTGAGCATATGTTAATGAGTGTTATATCTTCATGATGTATTGTCCCTTTGATCATAATGTAGTGTCCATCTACTTCTCTTTTTTACTCTTTTTAATTTGAAGTCAATTTCATCTGATATAAGTATAGCTGTTTCTGTCTTCTTTTTTGGTCCATTTGCTTGTAGGATTGTTTTTCAACCTTTTACTTTCAGTCTGTGTTTCTCTTTTGTGGTTAAATGTGTTTCCTGGAGACAGCAGAAGGTTGGATTTTGTTTTTTAATCCAGACATTTACATTTAGAGTTAATATTGATATGTTGGCATCTGAGTTTGCCATTTTGTTTGTCTTTTTGTGATTTCACTTCTTGCTTTATTCTGTTCTTCTTGTTCATTCCTCTGTTGGTTTTGGCTTTAGGACTTTTTTTTTAAAGTCTTTTTTTTTTTCTTTTTTAAAAGATTTATTTATTTATTTATACAAGCACTGGGTACAGTCAGAAGCAGGGTAGGGTGAGAGAATTCACCAGAGTCAGAGCGGAGAGCAGAGATGGCAGAATGATGAAATACACTGCTGAGGGGAGCAGCGGGAGGCAGGAGAGGTCTGCAGGCTATGTGGGACCCTCGCCTATGGTCGGGGATTGAACCAGAGCTGCAGAGGCTGCGGGCAGCTTCGTAGCCCAGGGCTCAACCATTGCGCCACCAGGGGAGGCCCGGCTTTAGGACTTCTTGTAGAATTTTTTGGAGTGGGGGTTTAGTTGTAATGAATTTCTGGAGTTTCTGTTTGTCTGAGAAGGTCCATATTTTTTCTTCACAGAGGAAGGAGAGCTTTGCAGGGTAATGTATTTTTGGTTGGCATTTGCTGTCTTGAAGTTTGCTGAATATGTTACTCCATTCTCTTCTTGCCCATAATGTTTCTTCGGAGAAGTCAGAAGTTAACCTGATTGGTTTTCCATTATAAGTTATCTGTTTCTTCTCCCTTGCCAGTTTCATTATTTTTCCCTTGTCTTGGACTCTTGAATTTAGCAAATATCTTTATATCTGATTTGAAATCCATGGAATAAAATTATCAGCAAAAATATTTGTATGGAGAATAAAGGATCTTTATGACTTTTTAAAAAAGATTTTGTTTATTTAATTTTGTGTAGAAAAACTGGGGTGTAGGCCAGAGGTACAGGGGATGAGAGGATTCTCCAGAGATAATGGGAAGCAGAACAGGCAGGTCTACTGAAATACACTGCTAAGGGGTCCAGCCAGACAGGAGAGAACTGTGTGCCATGTGTGGGTTAGCTCCCTGGCTGGGGATCGAACTCAGGCTATCAAGGTTATAGTGCTGAGATTTAACCACTAGGAGGGGTTATAAATTATTCATTCATATAAAAATGGGAATATATATAAAATCTACTTCTAAGTTCATAAAATTCAGATTTTCCTAGCATATATATATATATATATATATTATACACACATTTTGCTAATACTTTTACAATTATGTTTTAAAATAATTTTATAAAAATAATTTTTAATGACTAGCATTCCATGATATGGAAAAAAATATAACTTACATTTTTTGTTACTTAGTACAATTCACAATTTCAATTTACAGTAAATAAACTTGTGAATATGTCTTGGTACATGGCAATGCTTACTTCTTAAACATAACTTGGCATAACTCTAACATAAAGTCTACAAATGTCCTTTTCTCCTCTTTCCAATGTATCACTATTGTTCAAATTACAATTATTTCTTACTCGAACTTATCTGGTATCAACAAAGCAAGAAGTTAATCTTCAAAAACAGTAATCTTATTTTTGAACATGGACTCCCATGGAATAATTGTAAAGTCAAACTTCCAATCAACTTTTGTGCTTCCAAAGGGATGGGCTAGCTGGTCACAAAATAGAACTCTTGTAACACATAAGAAATGTAAGATAAAATAAGCAATTGTTTTAATAAAATTGTGAAAGTCTAAAATAACAAATACCAGAAGGTCTCAACCTCTAGAGAAAGAACTTGGAAAAGCAAAACAAACTTCAAGTTTCTTTCCTTGAGGACATTTGTCAGTTTGGGGAACAAAAAGGAAAATTATTTTGAGTCTGATGAAGTTACCTTTATGTCCTCCATTTTTCAATTTAATGAGCAATTTCTTTGTATACTGTTAGGACACTTCCAGTTTTATCTATATTACCAAACCAAAATAATGGCTATTAATGGAGCCTGAGGAGAAACAAAAAGGTGAAAGTGGAAGATTAAGCAGATTTCTAATTAATTGGTATTAAAAATCATAGTGACAAATTCTAGTACTATTTCACATGCAGAAAAAGAACAATTACATTTTCACTGGCTATGAACAAAGACGAAAGATGTGGAGGACGATTAATTGGAATAAGCATTAAACATCATGTTTCCTAATAAAGAGGAGGAGCAAAATGATGATTATTTTTCTTGGTAGATAAACAAGTAAGAGAGATTTGAATACCAATTAACTCCTGATCATTGGGTCAGAACAAAGTTTATTAGGAGTTTCCCTATCAAATATTTCACAGTACTTCAGGTTGGACTAAGGTTATTTCCTTAGAATGTTTGGATCCTTAATATATAATTTAAATAAGTTAGTGAAAAAAAGAACATACAATTTTGAATAAATTTGCATACTGTAAGAATATTAAATGTGTAACTATTGATCAACTGATTTAAAAATTCATTAGCAGTTTTTCTTAGTTTCACATTTGTTTTATGATAATCCTAATACATACTGGTTTTTATTTTCAGTTAAATATATAACTAAACCTGCTCATGTAATGCATAATTTACATATTTTTCAAGAAAACTTATAAATTCTGCAAGAAATCAGTGAAAGAGATGAAAATGAATTGTTAGTTACTGAATTCCTTATAATTTACTAAATATCATATACAAAGCAGACAGTGGTCACTATAAATGATGGAAAAATAATTTCCGTAAAGGTATTTGTCATTCATTTTTGCATCTCAGAAATTACATTAAAAACTATAAACTATGCAATACAGCACACACATGAAAACTTGTAATTTTTAAGCTAAAAGAGCTATGGATATAGAAAGAAATGGACAAAGACAGAAAAATGAATGTAAAATGGCCCAGCTAGTGAATGCTTTCTATAGGAGTCAATTCAAAGGATTAGAACTTGGAATAAGGATAGAATTTGGTTAAGAAGGTGAGAAACTGAGAACAATGAAAAAAATCAGTTAAGGACAATTACTTTCTGGGACATAGAAGACACTGAGCTAACAAGAGGAGAGAAAATGTGAACAGTGATGAAGGTTTTCAGTGAGAAAAAAATGGATAAATGAAATATTTGATGATACATGATACATGCATAATTTTTTTTTTACTACTACAAATATTTGGATGTTGTGAAGAATGACTACTGGATTCAGTGGACAGGCTCAAATTTTGTAGCTTCCACTAACTTGTTGTATGACCTAGGACTACTATTTAATATCCCTGCTTCAGCTGAAAAAACAAAAATAGCAACTTGCTCAGATAGCTATTGCAAGTAATAAAAAGCTTAGTTACATTAGTTTTCTATTGCTGTCTTTAAAAATTACTATCAAGTTAACAGTTTAAAATTTTATGGTCCATATTTTTTAGGTTAGAAGTCCAGGTGCAATTGACTCAACTGATTCTTTGTTCAAGATCACCCCAGGCCAAAATCAGCTAGTTGGCATGTCTGTGTTCCTTTCTGGAGGTTCTGGAGTTGACTCCACTTGTAAATTCATTCAGACTTGCAGAATTTAGTTCCATGCTGTCAAATGACTGAGATCCCTATTTCCTCACTTATTATTTACTGGGTTATTTGGGGGCATTTTTAGGTTCAGTTCCCCCTTCCTTCATCTTCAAAGCCAATTCAATGCTTCCAATATATTTTACCTCCCTCTGCCTCATCTCTGCTTTTTTGTTTTCCTCTTCTGTTGCTTCTCTCCAGTATTTCTGCCTTTGGTTCCTTTAAAGGGCACAATTGATTATATTGGGTCCATCTGTAATATCCAGGATTATCTCTCATCTAAGGTCACTTAGTTATCACTTAGTTACATCTGCAAAGTTCTTTCAAAGAAGCACCTTGGTTAGAATTTGATTGAATAACCCTATGACAGGAAACCTGGAGGGGGTGGATGTCTCTACAATTCTGTCTATAATAAACACAGTTAAATTTATATCACCGATATCATATCTACTGGAGAAAACTGAAAATTGATCTATAATTAAAGTGTTAGGTAACTTAAAATCTTATCAAATTATTGAAGCATATAAGCAGAAGTGATCTAAATGTGGTACTCTTAAACATGTCTGCTATGATTCTAAGCAAGCCAAATTAAATTAAGCTATTGTTTCAATAAGCACAAACCTTTATCTAGGGGAAACCATTTTAGATTCATGAGCTTCTTGAGTTTGAGTGATGTCATCTTTCAAAGTAGTAAATTACTAGAAAAAGAAAGACATGCTTATATATCAATTTTAAATGTTATAATAATAATCACCAGCTCAAATAATGTTAAATAAAACCTCATCATTTTACTAACTATATTTATCTATGTAGCTACATTTTCAGCTGCTATATTTTTATCTTCAAATATATATTATGATTTATTAATCTGAATTATGATGAATGTGGGGAAATAAGACACACAGTCTCACTTTTTTGTAGGCTTATGATCAGATCATGTCAATATTTTCATCAATACGTGTTGAATTATTATTACCTACAGGTATAATATAATGAAATAGGATCTAGTGTGGTAATTTTCCGTATTTTAAAGAGCTATTTTCAAAAGTTTCGGTCCATGACCCCTTTATACCCTTAAAAATTGTAGATGACCTCAAGCACAAAGATCTTTCTGTTTATGTGAATTATATCTGTAGTATTTGCCCAAATAATAATTAAAACTAAGAAAGTCTAAAAATTTGTATCAATTCATTGAACAAGTAAAAGGACCCCATTATTCTATTATATAAATAACATTTTGATCAAAATAGAATGCTATTTTTATAAACAAAGCTAGGCAGAGGTGCATTGTTTTATAGTTGCATAGCCTTAATCATGAAGCTGTATTCTAATATCTATTTCTACCTTCAATTTGTTGAAGGTAGAAAATGCACATAAATATATAGCTGGAAAAGAGGGTCCTTGTACACCTCCAGAAAAACATTAGAATACTAGAGTATGCACAGAGCACCTTTTGAGAACTGCTGCCTTAAAAGAGATAAAAAAGAAAAGAAATGAAGTGTAGAAGAATATCTACATTTACAGAGTATATAAGACAATCTTTAATAGAGTTATCATATGCCTTTTGTGGGATGAGTTTTGTGAAGATTATAATAGTGAAACTGCACCCCCTTGGAGTACCCCATATACAGGTGTGACCTGGAAGGATACATTTGGCTAGCTATCAGGTTAATCAATGAAAATATACCAATATAGCTTTATGACAAAAATTCAAGTTAAAATAACCCTAACAAGTGGGAGTTGCTTGTTATATAAATATAACACTGGGCAATTTTTTTTAATTTAAAATTCTTTCTTATTGAGGCAATATTGGTTTACAACATTATGCATGATAGGTGCACATCTTTTCAGGTGTATGTCACCTCACCACATCCACCACCAAAGCACCCACAGTCCTCCACCAGAGTCCACTGGGCCCCTCCCACTTTTCTCGGTGGTCTCCACCCTCCTTTCTCCTACATTATCTCAATTCTGAAGTCAGATTTCTAAGGTTTGTTTGGGTTCAGTTTTGTCTGTTTCTTTGTTTTCCTTTTTTATATTCCATATTTAAGTAAATCATCCAGAATTTGTCTTTTTCCTTCTGACATATTTTGTTAATGCTGGGTAATGCTAAGTGTTGATGGGAATATACACAAAGCCTCACAAACAATTTCTTAGAGCTGTAGAAAGCAATCTGGCACCACTTAGTCAAAATAAATATTCACATACTAAAAGGCTCAATGCATCTTCTCCTGAGATATAGCAAATAAATATCTTTGTACAACTACATAATAGATTGTGTCAGAATATATAATTCTGAGAAAATATGTATGTTTTTTGGACATAGAAAGTTAGAGGTACATTGAAGAATGAATAGGTTAAATATTGTATCAAAATACACTATTTTACTAAGTCTAAAGTAAAAATATATACTGTACATAGAGTAAAATGACTGCATTTTGAATAAGTAATGCTTAGGGGGAAGGCACTGAATGATACGAATAAAACAAAACATTTATGTAAGTAAAATAATGTATACAAATAAATGTATACATAGAAGACAATATCATCTATTTTTTTAATGTTTTACACACATGTAAGGAGACACTCAAACACCAATACACTGAACAAATGAAAATGATGGTCTCGATTCATGATTAAGCATGGAATGTTGAGCTGGAAAAATGTGTGATAAATAAATCTATTAAGAAAGAGAGATAATAGTGGTAGTCAATGACGATAATTGATCAGTACCTAATGAGATTTACTCAAACTTTTACATTTAAGTCACAGATATAAATAAAGAAATGACACATTATATCATACAGTACCTATATGTAGAATTTTATTCATTTTATCATATATGAATACACATACAAACACAAATCATACCTATATTTAAATAATTAAATCACATAGGTCAAATATAGTTATTATTACATGTGTCTACACTTATAAAGTGATCTCTATAGATTCAAAATTGTTTGAATTGCAATCAGTGGGTTATATTTCAAAAGTATCTTTCCAGTATCATTTTTGATTGGCATATGCAAACTAGATTCTGTCTCCATGGCAATTTCTTTATCTAATCATTGCATGGAAATAGAATATAAAGTTCCTGGCTTTTAGAGTATAACAATCCATCACTATTATTAGCTAAAAACATAAATATCAATCCTTATTAGTTACCAGAAATCTCTTGGTGACCTATGCTTTCTCTTGAGAACTGAAGTAGGCTAAATTCTAGACCACTGTAAATATGAATTCTTGAAAATTCTCCAAAGGACATATTAATGATAATAAAAATCATTAAAGGGTTGCAGTATTCACAAGCTATCAGTAACTCAATGATATTTTGTACTGTTTTGAAAATATTAATTTTTGTGGTATAATTTATATGTAATTATAGTACATACATTATAAGTACTCAATTCATTGAATTTTGAAAAGTATGTACACCTATAAAAACAGCTACCAAGGGCCTCCCTGGAGGCACAAGTTAAGTCTCAGCACTATGAAACTATTGGCAGCCACTGTAGCACAAGTTTGATCCCCAGCCAGGGAGTCAACCCAGACATGGGGCAGCAGACCTCTCCTGTCTTGCCCGCTGCTTCCTAGCAGTGCCTAGGATAGTGAGTCACTACTTTAACTCATTTGTGAGTACTTTTCTCTAAACTAAACAGAACCTTTTAGTTTTGTTCTTGATAATAAAGACTTCTATATAACTAAACTTCTGATAAATGATGTGTTACTACATGAGTAAAAATGCAAACAATGTTCCTATTTTATCATTATGGTTTGAAACATAAGATACACAAAAAAAGTAAGTATGACACACTATTAGTTGTTCTTATGAACACAAAACATGAAACCTTCTGAGGCATGCTAATGATCTTTAATATTAATTTTAAATTGTAATAAATTGACCATTTTAACTTTAAATACTACAAATAAAAGAGCTGTTGGTAAGTACCCCATTATATCAGTGAGAAATTAATATAGTTACCATTCACTATCACACTATTTCTCAAAAGCAATATTTTTTATTCTTATTGACATTCAATTTTAGCATTAGACACACAGAGAGTTCACATCTCTTTCCAGAAGAAATGAGATTTTAATCTTAAATGGCTTGGGACAAATCTAAGGTCAAGCTAATGCCAAATCAATCTGAAGGCTACCAGATCAATTACTTGAAAGTGGTACTTGATATTTCCTACTCTAGCTGATCAAATTGACTTCTCTTGCTAACTGGGAAATCTCTATCTAGTTACAATAATACCTTTAATTTACCAATTGTATTTTGAAGATGAATTAGATGTAAAACACACATAATTGGATTTAAGTGATTGAAACTATTTTGTTCCTCTAAGAAAATAACATTCTTAAACGAGTAACATCTCTTCTTACAACTGTGTCAAAAGATTGAACAAAACATTAATGCTCTTTCCAATTATTCTGAAAATGTTGATTACAAAGTAAGAAGACTTAATAAAAACATTAAAAATATGTATCTCAGTATATGTTATTGCCCTTAAAATAGTTCCTGTAGGATACTATATTGTTTTGTCCATGAGGTCATCTTGCTCAAAATAAAGTTTGAATTGTTTTTATTATTCTTATTATGATTATATTCAAGATCTATAAATTTGTTTTATTTGTGTGTGGGTATGTGGGAAAATATAATATTGTAACACAACATATAGACAGAGCTCATGTTCATAAATACTGATGAAAGAAACTGAAAAGGAAAGCTAATAAAGTAAATTAGGAAGGTGGACAGTACTTTTTTTTAATTAAAAAGTAACATAATTTTAAAGCAAAAATAATGGTATTTTTATAGGTCTCAACCATCTTTGGAGGAAGTATGTTAAGAGGAATGTTGATTTACAAATACAGATGTAATACAACTATATGACAATACATTGTAATTACTAGCAAAAACATGGATTTTTTTTCTATAAATATAACCAAATTTTAATCAGATTAAGATGATGAAAGATTTACTATGGGTTTTAAGATGATGGATTGAATGTATGCTGAAATTCTCTCCCTCGTTTACTTCAGATATACCAAAATGATCATCCATGAATGAAAATAAGGAAGAGTAAATTGTCAGTGTCCAAATGGGAGACATCTCTAATAGACCAAAAAAAAAAAAAATGATGGACTCAAAAACTCTGAAGAACTCAAGTCAAGCATCAAAGAGCTAAAGTAGAATTAGAGGAAATGGCTGGGGCTTAGGGTCTTGAGGACTGTAGGGGTTTATAAGCCTTTAAGGCAAATAAGCACCACCTATAAAAGGCTGGAGCTGTCTCTTACCCAGAAATGTGAAAGTAGAGCCTAGAAATTCCCTTTCTTTTGAAAGGGACCAAGATTATATTTCTTGCCAATATTATAATATGATATAGAATAATGCTGGAATTGGAAAGTAGATCATGAAAAAATAGAAAAAAAAATAAAAACAAGGATAAACTCATGTTAAGTAACTTGCTATATCCTGGGGAGGAGGAGTTGTTAGCAAATTAGGAAATAATATAATGACCCATCTATAAAAGTTATTGGGAAAATGAATAAACTATATTGGTTTATCATGGGACTGGATCCCTGCTTCACAGTCTACACAATCAGTTATAGAGATGCTAAAGGTAAACATAAAAAACAAAAGTATAAAATATTTGGTAACTGATACACACAGTATCATTGTATCATTAA